GTTTGAGGGAGGGTGGTACAACGAAGACAGGACACCTGTGGCACTTCCAACACACAACACTGGGACACTCTCTTCGGGACCCAGCTGTTCACTCCCATCAGCTGTGGCAGCATCATCTTACATCCACTGGCCCTGGGACTCTCCCCAGGCCATTTGAAAATGAATGACTGGATGTTAATGTTTTACAGATTCAAAAGACAATAAAATCAGCAATCTTAGTTGGGGGGGCATGGGGGGCTTGTAAAATTGATACAAAAAGAAATAAATGATCTAAACCATATTTCAAATGAATAACATACACATAAATGGGCCATAACCAACCCAAGTAATTTAGACTATTGAGACCATATGCCCTCAGGCTCAAGACAAAAAGAACCTGAAACATATATCGAATTCTAATTAGTAAGCCTTTTTGCAGACATGGGTTGGTAATTCTGAAATGACATTCTGTACATTCTAAGATTGAGGAAATAATAGTTTGTGATAATAAGAGCCACGTTTCTCACTGTTGGAGAAGAGAGTTATAGAAATTCCCAAAGGGGGGAGGATGAAAAGTACTTGAGAAGTCTCTTTTTCTTTAAGATTTTATTTTTAAGTAATCTCTACTCCCAACATGGGGCTCAAACCTACAACACTGACATCAAGAACTGTGCTCTACCAACTGAACCTGTAAGACACCCCAATACCTGGGAATTCTTCATACTACTTGGGAACATTTTTCCAAATGTGAAAAAAAAAAAAAGAATGGTTGAAATAGACCAGTGTTTCTTAAACTCTCTTATATTAAAAATCACTTGGGGCTTTTGTTTAAAATTTAAAACTCAAGAACTACTTTTCCCTCCCAAGGTTTTCTGCGTCTGTCCATCTGGGCCTGACAATGTGCATTTTACAACATCAAACACATTTTCGAGAGGCTGAATTAAATTATCTTTGAGATTCCCTCTGTCTTTGTCTGAAATACATCTATTACAGAGTCGAAGCATTCATACAAATACCAAGAGGCCAGAGGAAAACCCCTTGCACAATCTCCTGGGAAGAACATCCAGGAGAAATTCCAGAATTGTTCAAAAGTCAAGTGACCCATACATTTTCTAGAGTTAATATGTTTCAGGGATGAGTGGCTTGATTTCCATACTTCCAACAGGACAAGTGCCTCCTGGACTTGGGGCCTTTGCATATATGCCACATCAACCCAGAACACCGACCCCACAACATGCTGGCAAAGTGGGACCCTTTTTAGCCATCGAAGCTCTCCTCAGCTGTCAGCTTCTCCGAGTGGCCATCCAATCTCCTCAGCCCTGTCCCTCCCACCTCCATTTCTCCACCAGGCTTATTTCCTTTAGCGTACTCCCCACTATCTGGCCTCATCCCTTTTCCCACTGACCATCAGCACATTTCCTCCATGCAAGTGAGGTGGGTTTTCCTCACTTCTCTTATCTCCAGCCCCTAAAACATCGTTCATTCTATATGTAGCAGGCACAAAAGAAATATCCACAGAATGATTTAACAACGCACAGGTGTGTAGCAATCTCTTTCTTATGACAAACACGTTTGCCGTGTGATAGGTGAAACATAACCAAATCAAGGGGGGAAATAGGAATTTATTATAACAAATAAATTTTATTTTCTTTCTCCCACGCAATTTAAGAAAGCTAGACATTGCTGTAAGTTGGAAGAACATCTGAGTTTAGAAATGGGTCTTTGGGGGCACCTGGGTGGCTCAGTGGGTTAAAGCCTCTGCCTTCAGCTCAGGTCATGATCTCAGGGTCCTGGGATTGAGCCCGGCATCGGGCTCTCTGCTAGGCAGGGAGCCTGCTTCCCTTCCTCTCTCTGCCTCTCTCTGCCTACTTGTGATCTCTCTCTGCCAAATAAATAAATAAAATCTTTAAAAAAAAAAAAAAAAGAAAGAAATGGGTCTTTGCCTTTTTGTCCATGATAGATTGTTGGCTAGAAAATCAGAGGCTGGCATTCAACTAATAGTTATAGAGCGTCATCATACAGTGTTAATAGGTGTTTCATATAGCGAAACATATAGTTTGGTCATGGCCAAGAGAAATTTGGGACACAATAGAGCCACACAAAGGGTTTATCCAACACATGTGACCGCCCCGTTCTCCAACTTGCCTTCCTTAGAACTTCTCATGTGAGCTGGGTTCCACAATAAGCACTTTGAGAAAGACTGCAGCAAACCAAATATTTAGACCACTTTGTACTCAAATGATTTCTAAAACCTCCCACTTCTCATTCAAATCCACAGTAACAAATTTGATTCTCTCTAAAAAGTGAGCAATGGAAAGTGAAACTCTTAAGATGAGCAGAGGAAGGTGAAGCTGACGACGTGGCCTCATTCACACACATTCAGGCTTTATCGCAACTGTGGCGTCTGGGAAATTTGGGCGTATTGTTTCTCAACAGGGGGAGGAAGAATAGGGACATCCCATTGGGAGTCTGTCACCCCTTTTGAGGCAGTGCCATGGCGAGCAGTCACCACCAATGGAAGTATGGTGTGTCTCAGGGGCGAATTGAGACACTCAAAAAACTCAAAAAAAGCACCACTGAGAGGTGCTACACGAAAAGACATCTTCCCAGTGGGGTCTTCAGCTCACCCAATGCCAGCATTTTTGACTTTCTGGGATGGCTTAAGCAAAACTCTAGCCCCGTAATTTTTTTTTAAATTTATTTATTTGACAGAGATCACAATTAGGCAGAGATGCAGGCAGAGAGAGAGGAAGGGAAGCAGGCTCCCTGCTGAGCAGAGAGCCCGATGTAGGGCTCGATCCCAGGACCCTGAGATCTGACCTGAGCCGAAGGCAGAGGCTTTAACCCACTGAGCCACCCAGGAACCCCTAGCCCCAGTACTCTTAATACCTAAGGTTAATTAATATATGTAAATCCACTTCCCACATCTAGAAGCTTCTAAATCAGTATATTGAAAACTGTTCTCAAATTTTAACTTGTAACACTGTCCAAAAGTATACCATGGGACTAAGTTTACCAAACATCTAAAAACATTATGAATCACAGCTCCTATTTTGTGGATCTAGCATTTCTTTTTCCATTGTGAAGTATGGTGAAAAAGCCACATAACCCAAAATTAAATAATTTAAATGTCCTTCAAATGAATCACCTTATTATCTTTCAACTATTTCTGAGCTAAACAAAAAACATTATTTTACTTTTTCTAAATAAGATATATTAAAAAGCTTCATGTCTTTGGCATTACTAGAATAGGGTATTTAAACTTTGTACTATCTCAGCATAAAATTGCAGTCACAGCAAGATGAAAAGGGAGCCCACAGACCCTGCTGGGGTAAAATTCCACTAACAATGTCAGATTGTTGCCAAAAACTAAATTTTGTCAGGCAGCTGGCAATTAATGTACCAAAAATTTACCAGCCCATATAATTTTATCAGTCTACCTTCCCCAGAGGAAGTAAACAGATAATAAAACTAATGAAATAATATTTCTTGACCACTCTCATCCAATATAAATTTTTACTTGTCCTTAGAGGATTGGACAATGAACTATTCACAAGGCCGTTTCAGTTTCTGGGCCTGCTAACCATAGAGGAGAATTCTAAGATATGGGGGTATTCCTAAGGCAGCAAAGAAGATCCTGCTTTGTGATGTACAGCCCCTTAAGTCATTAGCAAGTGCAGACCAGGGATTGATGGGCCTCTGTTAAAAACTGGTTTGCATCAGCATTTCTGTACTCTCCAAAAACACCAGGAAATACTAAAATTTAACTCCCAATGCAAAAGATGAGAAATTGCTCAGTCTCATGAAGAGTAGAAAACAAGGGGCTATATCCTTAGGTGGTAGGTCATTGAAAATTGGGTCAATCACAGCAAGCTGATAGGCCCAATGCCTTCTGGAATTCATGAGGAAAGCATCTCTTCAAGTTTGGCCTGGGGCCCTTCTGCATTAGAATCACCTGGGGACTTACTCAGATTTAGAGCAAATCTCCTCTAAAAGACCTACATTTTAAACGACAAATGCAGAATCTTCTGACTTTGCCTGGAAATCCTGGAAACCCACCAAGTGTTTCTGATTCACGATAAAGCTTGAGAATCACTACAGTTGACTGACCCATTAACAAGGTCTTAACTTCTCCTGCACATGAACTCTGACATCTGCAACATATTTAGAAGATGTACAACATCCCCAAATGTCGTGATGACGTTGGTTTAAAAGGTGACAGATGAACTCAGCCAACAGAGCTTAAGTCAGCCAACTCCCACACACTACACATTTGACCCATACTACACAATAAGGTGCAGCATCAAACCGGCATTTAATGAAAACATTAAAAAATAGAACATGGACAGCCAGCCATGTGCGTGTTCTAATGACATGGGTTTTGGCACTATAAGGTAGAACGGACTTGTGGAAAAGAGGACTCTTTTCTATCCATTCCTTTCACTAGGTGGGGAAAGGAAGAAGACCCTTCCCCAAACCAGGTCTCTCCCTTCTGGAGTGCTTCCCCTGTCCCCAGAACTCCCACAGACCCAACTTCCTCTGACTCAGGTTCCTTACACTGATCTTTCTGGCTCATTCTCCCGCCCTGGAGCTCTTGGGAGAGGCTATGCTATGTGGAACTCATCAACTGAAGTAAGTTCCATTTGCAAAGGGTAATACTACAAAGGTCATGAAGCTTCATTCAAATGTTTAATGTCAAGCTACAAGGGCGGCATGCTTCTTCCAACTGTTTAAATAGGATTGAAAAACCCATTTTAAATAAATTTAAAACTTAATGAAATATTAAGAATCTGCCCAAACAAGGACTTACTTGAACCCATCTTCCCCTTTTAAAATAATATAGAATCAGTGCACATCTAGAGAAATGTCCCCAGTTCAATACCTTATTGACAAGAACCCACTCAAAAATGCCAAGACATCAGCCATTGCGGCTATTTCAGACCTCTGGAAACTGGTTCCCTGCGGCTGGGTTAGGGTGGCTAGGATGGGCTAGCTTAAGGCTGACATCTGGCACGAACATGTTACGGTCTGAATCATGTTTCTTTTTTATGTAATTCTGGCTCGGGAATCCGATACAGAGCAGCTGAGAAATAAACTATGTTGCTGAGGCTGAAGACGAGGCACAGAAGGATGGCTCCAGCTATCTGAGGGAAAGACAGGGGCCTGGCATGTGCCAGGAGCCATTCCTTCCTCAGAGTCTTGTCCAGAAGTATGGCTTCCATCTGCATGTGAGTGGCCAGGATCACACACACATGGAACAGCTGGTGACTGTGACCTACAGCAAACACAGAAAAGGCCACCAAGATCAGCAATGAAAAATAATGGACTATTGATTCTATACTGTGGCCTGTAGACTCGACATGTTATTCTGGGTGAAGGAAGCCAGGCACAAGAGACCATGTACTGTCAGATTCCGTCTATGTCAAATATCCAGAAAAGGCAAATGCGCAGACATGAGGCGGATTCGTGGCTGCTTCAGACCGGGGGTAGGAATCGGGACTAACAGGACACAGGCATGAGGGATCTTACTGGGGCAATGGTCATGTTCTAAAACTCATGTATGCAGATGGTTGTACTACTAGGTAAGTCTGCTGGAAGTATCATGGAATTGTATAGTTGAAATTAGGGAATTCTTTGGTATGGAAAGTATGCCTCAATACATTTATTTTTAAAATGCAGTGTGAGGAAAAATAAAAAAGGCCATTGAGCAAAGCAAGTCCATGTTTCAAACACCTTATCCACCAGTCCTGTGTTTTCCGGTAAGAGGTTCTAGTCTTACATTCTGCCAAAGTTCACCTCTGCAGGGCCAGCACTTCTCAGCTCCTATTCTGACTTCGGTGCCAAAGGAGAGGCCAGCCAGACTTAGGAGGTAGCCTCCTACTGCTGGTTAATCCCACACATGACAGGGGACACTTCCTCCCCATGCCCTGCAGGACCCTGGCTAGCCAGCAGAGGGGGCAGGGGTGGGGGTGGGCAAGGATGCGCTGAGTTGGTACTGGTGAAGAAAGGAGTCTATTGCCCAGGGCCGAGGACTGTGTGTGGGACAACCCTTAGAAACCAGAAGATGAGAAGACAGCACGTGTCATGGATTGACTTGTGTCTCCCTCTCCCCAGTTCTGAAGGTCAAGGTCTCAACCCCAGGTACCTCACAATGTGATTGTATTTGGAGATAGGATCTTTTAAGAGACAATTACATTAAAATGAGATCACTAGATTGGACCCACGGTGATTGGTGTCCTTCTAAGAAGAGGAGGTGGGGGCCTGGGCAGGCACATACAGAGAGGAAAGACCATGTGAGCGAGACCGAGAAGAGGGCCATCTGCAAACCAGGGAGAGAAGCCTCGGGAGAGCCCAAACCCGCCCCGACCTTGGTCTCAGCCTCCCGGCCTCCAAAATTGTGAGAAAATGCATTTCTGTGGTATGAGCCCCAAGGTATGTGATTCTTTGTTATGGCCATCCTAGCACCCGGATACAACACAAGAGTTCAAAAAGGATTCTTTCAGTAAAAAGAGAGAATGAGGGGCACCTGGGTGGCTCAGTGGGTTAAAGCCTCTGCCTTCAGCTCAGGTCATGATCCCAGCGTCCTGGGATCGAGCCCCGCATGGGGCTCTCTGCTCAGCGGAGAACCTGCTTCCTCCTCTCTCTCTGCCTGCCTCTCTGCCTACTTATGATCTCTGTCTGTCAAATAAATAAATAAAATCTTTGAAAGAGAAAGAGAGAAGTCATACACCCAGGTCTTACCCCAGAGTAAGTATTTGATAACTGTGTCCCAGGAAGGGAGCAGCCTGGGCACCTGCAGTCTGGAGCAGAAGCAGAGACAGGAATGGGAGTGTGGGAGTGAGGGCCCTCTCCGGTGGGAGGCCCATGAGCCCCTTAGGGCAGGAGCTGCCAGCCCCTCAGGTTGTGTCCCCTGGGGAAGAAGGTGTGCCCAGTCCCAAGCTGCCCCTGCCTTGCTCAGGCTATACTCGGGGGCTGGTAGAATTGCCAAGTCCATTTGGGATGCAGCAAAGTGCTTCTTGTCCAGCAGAGAGCCCTGCTCTCCAAGGACATACATCCAAGCAGAAAGAAGTGACCAGCTGAGTGAGCTCCCAGAGGCACAAACCTGTCCCCAACCAGAGCAGGAGAGCCAAAGACAGAAAACGCCACGGGCACAGGATGTATCTGAGATGCGACTGCGGCAGGAAAAGTGATCTCAGCACTCTGGCCCCCCCAGGAACGTGGAAGAACTTTCTCTGAGCCGGCCCTTACCAGTCAGCACCTTGGCCCACACTGGAGAGGGAGGCTCACGTCTGGCAGACTCCATGAATGCAAGACAGAGAACTTTCCAAATCCCTTGTTGGTGACCTGTCATTAACAACTGTCTGGCAAATGTTCCTTCATAGGGGTGTCTTTCTGCTCTGTACCCCGAGGCCCAAGAGGATAGGACTAAAGGTGAATGAATGAAACATTATTAAGAAACCAGGGCATTGGCAAAACAAGGCCCAGGACGACTTTGCCTGAAGCCCCCAGACATCAGATACAACCCCTCTGTTTCATCTAGGCAGGGCTCCCCAGTGGACAGGGCTCCTGCTGGCAAGTTCCAGTCCCCTGGCCCTCCTGTCTCCTTCCTTTTTGGGGGGAACCTGCCCTCCCAGCCTTTTGGTCTTTGCAATGCCTCCTGGTAGGAGAGAGTAAGTCAAAGAGATGAAGGTCTTTTCAGAATCAATGAAGCAAATGTGGCCACGTCTCAGGTGGGAGGAGATGAAAAATCACTGGGCAAAATGGGCATGGGGAGAACTAAGGTCCCTGCCCACCATTCAAGGACAGGGGCTGACCTTTGGATGCCCATGACAGCTTATCTAAGGAACACTGGTCCCCGGGACTTATCAACCTCACCAGAAGTGGCACCCAAGGGTGCCTCCTCCAGCCAGTGCCCACCCCGCCTCCCTAGATAGGGAGGGAAGGAACTCTCCCAGCAGGTGGAGGTCCCGGGGCTCACACGGCCCCTCCCCCACATCAGTTCTCTCACTGTAGTGAGCTCAGGTTCCCCTGGAGAGTCAAACAGCCTGAGTGCTGGGCCGCTGGCCCCAAGCTTCTGGTATGGGATGTCTGGGCCGGGGTCTGAGAATTTCCATGTTCCCAGATGATGCAGAAAATGATGGTCTGGGGGCCAGACCTGAGAACCACTGCTCTACTAGGCCTCCTGGCCCTACTGCGCCCACCCGAACGAGACAGACACTCTCCCCTCCTTAGCACGGTTCCTGCCATCTGGTTGCCTCAGAGCCCACTGCACTGTCTGTCCTGTTCTTCTCCGGGGCCGCCCTCAGTGTCTGTTCAACAATGGGATTTCATGTTCTGGGTAATAATGGCACTCTCGGGCCCCATAGCCCATAGGAATGGGCTAAATCCTAGACCCACCTGCTCTCCATCCTCCCCCACCTTCGAAGCCCTGCCATCTGCTGGCTGCATACAACCCGGTCTCCAGTTCTGCTTCACCTGGCCTGCTCCTAAACAAGCTCCTGAGGAATGCTGCTCTCCCTGCCCCTGCTTCCCCTTCACACCGCATGCACTGGCATCTGTCTCTGGGTTGGACGACCCCGGGCCACAGGGCCTCCCCCACTTCCCCGCCCGCCACACTCACCGATGTAGTCGAAGCGACCGGGTGCCAGGCGCTCTGGCAGGTGTGCGGAGTAGAAGAAAGAGGCCAGGAGGGTCATGGCCATGTGCTTCTGGTGGTTCAAGATGGCTTCATTCTGCACACCCTCCCCAGGCAGCAGGAACAGCTGCGGGCAGTTAAAGAAACATGAGGTCTTGCACAGAGGCCCTCTCCCTTTTCATCGCCTCAAGACATCTCTGCGCACATGTGTGGACGCCACAGGCCAAGGCCCTCATGCCTCAGGTCTGTGGCTTGGAAAGGGAACTCTCAGGGACTGTGAGAGCAGAATTCCCATCCTGCGATCATCCGAGACCCAGGGCAACTGTATTTTAATCCTCCAAATGCTCATAAAGACTTTTGGGTTATTTAGGAACAAATGAAAAGGAAAGAAATGCAGGAAAAGAAAAACCCTAGTAGACCTATTGCTACTCTACTGTCTGGGGGTAAAATGTAAGTATAGTAAAAAGTGGTCTGTTCACCCTTGAACTCACCTCTTACTAGCGAGTCGCCTACTTTCATGTTCCTGATTAAGGTTTTAAGGCCCAGAAATCCCTGGAAGGCCTTCTGAGTCATCAAAATGTATTAATTATGGCCATGATGCTGTTTAAGAGTTAAGCATCGCTTTTGTATTATCTTTGTGAACATCGACAGCTGCCGCCACTAACCTGGGGCACTGGGCCAGTCCCTTTCTTGCGTGATTTCATCAGAGCCCCGCCTCAACAATTACCATGAGGCGGACTCCAGCTTCCCATTTTGCAGATGAAGAAGCCAGACCAGAGGGTGATGTGCAAACCACGAATGAGCAATGACGTCAGGATCTGGATCCAGGCAGGATGATTCCAGAACCTGTGTCCTCATCATCACCATTCAGGATGAGACCTCCCCACCCCACTGTCCACCGTCTGCCACAGCCGGGCACCAGAGAGCACACAGTGTCCATAACGCGGACCTCTGTGGTGTGATTTTTGGTGCGTGGGACCCGCCTGTTCTCTGCTCCGGTTTCCTGTATGTGTTCTCTGTCCCTGGGGAAGGATCAGGGGAATCTCCCCTGGGGCCCACACAGGTGGAGCCTGCTCTGACCCTCCCTGTTCTGTCCCTGCTTCAAGCATCAAACCTCAGGCTGCCCCTGGGAAAGGAAACCCTCACTGGGTGCAGGCCATGTTCCAGGCACGGCTGAGCCCTTCAGATCTGCGGATTAAGTGAACCCTCCCCTCCCCGTCCCCGTGCAGGAGGGGATGTTAGCCTCATTTACAAATGAGGAAACGGAGACTCAGAGAGGTTGTGTGCATTGCCTAAGGTCACACAGCCAGTGAGGAGTGGGACTGGGATTTGAACTCTGGTCCATCTAATTTGAGAGTGTCTGGACTCTCCCCCTTCTTGTGTCCCTCCTACACCCTCTTCCTGTTCTCTTACCTATTCTCTGTCTAATCCCCATCTATCCTTAAGAGCCCCCATTCACATTTTTTCCTTTGCTACTAGCATGTTAATTGATGATAATACATAATGCGTTTATTGGACACTTGTCACTGGCTAGCATTTTATATGTTCCCTCATGTAATCTTCCCCACAGGCTGATGGACCAAGGTGTTACTATCATGCCTATTTTATAGCTGAGAGAAACTGAGGCACAGAGATGGCACATAACTTGCCAAAGCCCTACAGTGAGTACATATTAGAGATCTGCCTCCAGAGCCTGCTCTCCTGGTCCCTCCACTAAAGCCCAGGTTGCCTCCCCTAGGCAGCCCTCCATGATTACTTCTGAGCCCATAGTCAGTGCTGGCCACTGATGCATCGTCTGTGGTCTGGCATATGTTCCTGCTGTCTCCTAACTACTATGTACCCTCTAATAAGGAAGGTCTCGACTCCCATGTGCAGTAACCAGCATGGCACTCTGATCCCCAGGAGCTCAGGAAATGGAAGGGTCCCGGGTGTTGCCAACAGGCAGGGAAAAGATGGAGCCTGGCCCTTACCCTGTAGAAGATGGGGAGGGAGTCCCAGGTGTAGGGATAAGCAAAAGCAAGGATGCGAAGCATCTTACAGAGCCCAGGCTTCTGGATTTCAAGAAACCTAGATCAAGAAAGGAAAAGGGGGAAGAAATGGGAATGAAAACATTTTCATTAAATGACACACGCGCATGCGCATTATGAGTAACCGAGGGCAAGTCACCAACAGAAGGCAAGTATTTGGGGCAACCTTCCTCCTGAGGCCAGCAGCTTCTCCACTGGCCTTGTCTACTTCTCCTGCCACGATGGCTGCATGTGGGAAGGCCTCAGGGGAAACCATCTCCTGGGGCCGCATCATGAGACGCAGTGGTGTCCCAAGAAGCCAGGAAGGAGGTACTGGGCTGGAAAGGAGCTTCAGGAGGCAAGTTATCTAAATGCCAGAGCCTTTTCAAAGTCCAGTAACAACAAGACAGGGAGACTTGTGGGGCGTGGGTGGCCCCCAGGCATAGGCCCCTGGGGCGAGCACGTCTGGGAAAGATGAGATGTCTGACTAGTCAGCTGTCCAGGTGACTGCTGTGCAGAAGCCCTTGGTTCAGGGAAGTGTTTAATGACTTGGGAGAAGGTTCTGGAATCCTTAGTGCCACACCCAGGAACACTAGCCTGGGGAAACTGAGTAAATGTGGCCTTTCCCCCTCCACTTCATCAACCCTCCTCCAGTCCGAAGATGAACCAAACCTTAAAATGAGTGGTGCTGACTGTGGCAGAGAGGGCAGGGCCTCCCAGACGGAGACTGATGGGGCCTCAGCGGGCTTGGGCCCAACCAGGGTGGGGCTGGCAGCCCAGGGTGAGGCGAATGGGGCTGCGCAGATGGACAGGCTGGATACAAGGAGGGCAGGAGAGGAGTAGGGAGATCTCTGCACAAAACCACAGCCCTGCACTGGGGCTCAGGTAAGGCGTGCTCGGGCCCCAGGCCACAGGACAGGGCAGGTCCCTGCTTCAATACCAAGTGTATTGTGGAGAGCTGGGTCCTCCCTCTGTCCCCACAGGGGTACCCACAAAGGTGGTATGCAAAGTCAGGGCGCCAAGGCTGGTGGGATGGCTGCTCTGGGACAGTGAGTCAGACAAGGGAGGCCCTCCCTGACAGTCCTGCTCCTCAGCACGCTCTCCAGCTGGGAAGGAATCCGTGTCCCACCACCGCTCCCCACCCCTGTTCCCCAGATGCCCCGTGCCAGCCCACAGCCTGCCCTTTTCCCCACCAAACACAACCTATGGCTCCACCCAGCCCAGGCCACTGGCCCCTGGCCAGGTTACTCCTGTCCCCGTAGATGGTGCAGTCACCTGACTACAAAGCTCTCTGCTCCCCATGTCCTTTGGTTTGGGACAGGGCAGAGACTCCCACATCCACCCTCTGAGCCATCAGGGGACCCTCATGTCCCCCAGGCTGATGTGTTTATCTAGCCCTCCAGGAAGCCAAGCCTGAGGATCCCTGCTCCAGAGTAAGAGGCAGCTGCTGTGGGCCCCAGGGAAGCCCCGCAGCCTCCAGGGATAAGCTCCAACTTTCAAGCGTATGTGTGCATGTCTCTCCTTTCCTGACCCCATCCTAAGTCAGAGAAACACACGGCAGGCATGGGGTAGAGAAGGAAGAGAAGCTGAAGAAAAAGGAGGAAGAGAAATAAGGGACCTCAACATATCATCCTCCCAAACAAGACCCTCCAGCCTTGGAGTAAACCACCAGCCCTGGGAGAGGTGAGGCCACACCAGGCCATGATTCACAGGCAGTGTCTGACCTGGACAGCCTGGGTTCGAGTCCTGCCTCAGCCCTCTGTGATCATGTGACCCCCAGCAGGTTAGGTAACCTCTGTGCACCCCAAAGTCCTCACGTGTAACACAGGGGCCACAACTGTACCCCTTCATGGGCTTGTTGCAAGGATTTGATAATCCATACTTGCAAGGAGTTGCTCACGTCACAGAGGAACGCTTGATAAATGGCAGCTTTTAATAAAAGGTGTGTAGTGGGATTCATTCTCTCCCCATCCCCACCTCAGAGCTATAGCTGTGCCAGGGAACAGGAACAGGAGGGAAGAGACAGGTTCTGGGAGACTTGCCTAAAGTCAGATGAGCTGATAAGAGGCGAAGTTAGGATTTACACCCAGTGCGGTCTGGCTTCCAAGTTTCACACCCCCACCCCTCCGGCAGGCTGAGCCAGCCTTAGACCACTACCCAGCCTTCATCCTTGCCTATACCCGCTCTGCCCCAGGGAGAAAATGGGACACACTCCCATTGCCCTCCACAGCCAGAGCCTGTCTCAACAGCCTTCACAGCCTACCCTGGCCAACCCAGTCCAACCACAAGCCCGCTCCCCCCTCCCCATGCATGGTCACCATCTATCTTTCCTGGGTTCTAAGAGGCTCACTATGAAAGCACGCTCTTTCTGTGACCACTTACACAGGAAGAAAGCTGGCTCTGGCTGGCGAGGGCCATCCCCCAAACCACGGATTTCCTGTGACTTGAGACAACATTTCTCCCGGCCTGATAAACTGCTTCCCCAGGGGCAAACGAAACAGCCTCTCCATCTGCCAAGCCGAGTCTACAGGGGGAAAAAAGGAGAAAAAGCAGAACAGAAGAGAGACAGCAACAGAGAATAAATGGCAGAAGGGCCAGCAGCCACAGAGAGGGGCCTCCCACTACCAAGGTGCAATTCCATAGTTAGCCACAGGGTGTCGCCCCAGCCAGAGATTCCAGGAAGGAGGGGCAGGAGCTGCAGAATCCTCCAAAGAAAGCACTGGTTTCCCCCCTCCCCTCCAGTATCCAAAGCCCCACCTGGTAAGCCCCAGTCCCTGCACAGCCCAGTGGAGAGACCAGAGAACGAGAAGGAAGTCAGGCCTCATCTGCCTAGAACCAGGTTGGCAGGAAGCACTGGATTTTGGCAGAAGCCTCCACCAGGAGAGGGTCTGTTCCAGAAGCTGATAAATCTTGTTGCAACAAAGCCGGCTGGAGGTGCAAGCAAATTCTGGAACCAATGCTTGACCAGTGGGCCTTTGGAAACATTCCACTGCAGAGGGATGTGTGTGTGTGTGTGTGTGTGTGTGTGTGTGTGTGTGTGTGGTGTGGTTATGGCTGTTTTATTGTGTGGGTGACATCGCAGAACACGGACATTTCCACGTGCTGGCCTCTGGGTCTAGTAGCACTTTGTCATCTGGCTGACCCTCAGAACCCCTGACTGCCTGTGAGCCTCCTGCCTCCAGCTCTGACCTCCGAACCCCCTCCCTGGTCTGCTGTGGGCCGCAGCTTCACCCACCGCCCCGGCATGGCTCTCACGGCGTAGCCCACTTTCCACCAAGGATGAAAAGTCACCTCTCTCCTTCACAGCACTGACCACAGGGCATTTCACTGGGCAACTATTTGTCAAAATAAAACAACCTCTGGACACGTTGGATGAGTGAATAAAGAGCCTACAGGGACTTGTGATGGACAGCAAATTCTGGGTGACTGACGTCCCTAAGGGAGTGAGAAGGCCTTGCTGGGCTTCTGGGTGTCCAGCGGGATGAGCAGGCCAGGTCTCTGTCACCCCATCTTGCTCTGAGAGCGACAGAGAGGTCATGTGTTCTCTCCATCTCCCTTCTCAAATGCTACAGAAGCAGCAGGTGGGTTTCTGGAACATTCATTTGCACTAGATTCAAGGGGAGTCCACAGTGCTCTATGTGGAGACTGACCTCAAGGACAGGTAGTACAATGGAATGAATGCCGTGATATTAGACCGTGATATTCTAGTAAGCACGTGAATAACTAAAAACCACCCAGGATGTCTGTGGTCTGCTTCTTGCTCAAGGAAGGAGATGGCCATTCTCTGACCACTCCTGGACACACCATGGACTGATGGAGCCCAGGCGAGAGGGAGGGTGGGCTTGGGAGAGGAGGAGGGCGAGGAGAGAAATCTTGGAAAATACTCTGAAGCCCTAGTATGGTAGAACACCCCGAGACATCTTCTCAGATGTCCTTGTTTAAGGTGAAGCCAGAAGTCCATGAAATCCGGGACCCCAGGGGGCCCTGGCCTTTCTCTCCACCTGCTTCTCCTCAAGTGAATGGGGGCCGAGTCTCTCTTGGTCTAGGAGCCAGCTTTCTCACTCCTCAGACACTGAAGACAAAAAAGGGAATGAAAACAGGAAAGGGAAGAGGACCAGGCGAGAAGGGACACCAAAGGACCCTCTGATGGGACATCCCACTCTGCCTCTGGACCTCTTCCTAGGCTTCTATTCCAGCACAGGCCCCCACGCCCGCAGCCACAGACACACCTGGAAGCCCCTCATGGCATAGCCCTCCTGTGGAGATCACTAGCCTTCGCCAGCACAGGACCAGGCCACAGCAGGGCACAAGAGGCACGTCAAATCCCAGCCACTGTCAGAGACCCTCTCTAGCCACTCTCCTCCTTCCAGCTGTGCGGCTCCAGCAACTCTGAAGCCCCCTGCCGCCACCCAGGGCCTTCTTCTCCTGCCCCCTCCCCCTGTGCAGGCTGTGTGCTCTGTCCCAAAGGCCCTTCCCTCCTCTCCAGCTCGGGTGTTCAACCTCCCTCAATACTCAGTCCCTTACTGCTCTGCAGAACTTTGTGTATCGTAGCAGGTATCATTTTGTATTACCATTATTTGCATACATTACATTCTGTAACACTATACTCGATATGCCATTTCCTCTGGCCTTTAGAGGAAATGATGACTCCATGTGGGCTTTTGGGGAATCTGCTTTGACTACTGCACTGGTGCTCTCTCGGGACAAGGGCTGTGCCTCACTCCTCCTGCTATTCCCAGATCTTAACACGATGCCTGGAGTATGGCAGGTATTTAAGGAATGTTGAGTGAGTGGTTGGTTAGTTGTTTGGTTGACTGGCTGACTGGCTGACTGGTTGGTTGTTTGGCTGTTTGGTTGGAAGGATGGATGGATGGATGGATGGATGGATGGATGGATGGATGGATGGATGGATGGATGGATGGATGGGTACATGAAAGGATGGGTAGGCAAGTGGGTGGGAGGATGGATGTATGGGTGGGTGAGTGGATGGGTGGTTGGGTAGATGGATGGATGAGTGGACAGGTAGGTGGAAGGATGGCTGGCTGGCTGGGTCAGGTGGGTAGACGGATAGGTGTATGGCTGGTTGGGTAGATGGATGAATAGATGGTGGTTAAGTAGGGGGATGGTGAACGAGAAGGTGGATGAATGAATGGTTGGATACATGGAATAGCAACAGATGTGTCCCATAAGTAAACAGAAATAATTCATTTCACTGACAAGGGAGAACCCTCCAAACACAGGCATCATGAGATTCCTTGCCAGCCTGCCCTGCCAAATAAATTTGTCCAAAGGTAACAGGCATGCCACATCCAGAAGACCCATTTTTTATTAACAACTAGGATGGACTTCTGGCTAGAAGAAAACCATCCACCCTGGTGGCTGATAGATGATTCAGGAAGCTTTAAGGGGAAAAAAAAAAAAAAAAAAAAAGGCAGCTAAGCTAACTTGCACTGGGGATTCCTAGGAAAACTGTCCTGGATCATGAACTCTGGGACTATTCCTTCAACACTCATGGAGCCTTCCATGCCCCCTCAGCCCACAGTGCTCACCTCTCTCCAATCCTAAATTCCGAAGAGCTCAGCTACACAGCCAACAGGAGCTAACGAGACAGGATCATGACTCATCCAGGGACCAGAGTTAGGTGTGTCCTGTCCACACATCTGTGCCCCGTGCCTCCAGGCCACGCTTCATCTCTCCTGGGCTGTTGCTGGCATCCGGGTTACTTTTCTATGTGTGTTACGCCTTGTCTCACCTGAGGCAGGGCCCAACCCCCTCCTCCCCATTGCCTCTGCAGTCCTCGAAGCTCCAGCCTGGCACAGAGGCTGAGCTCCAGAAAGAGTTTCTAGTTGACAGGCGTCCTTGAGGAAGTGGGGAGGAGGCAAGAATAACCCGGTGAGGTCTGACTGGGTTTCCACCCTGAGGGCAGACCCCCTGTCCTCATAGCTGTAGGGGGGCTCTGCATTGCCAGGGAAGGGGAAGAGAGTTCAGCTCCCACTCCCTCCCCAGGCTTGTTTTCATGGGATGAACAAACCCTCGTTGTTGACACTGGGTCTAGAAACGAGACACCCTCCCACGCAAAGCAACTCCATGCTCCCAACCAGTCTCAAGACAGGCAAGTGGAGACAAGTTGGAGCAAGTGTTCTTGATGCTCTTTAAGAATCTCTATCCTTCCATTTTTTTACAGAAAACCAGCTTGTCCAGTTTGTGAAAACTGCTTACCTTTGGTCCTACGACACCCAAGTGTCACCCGAGGAAAGGAAGAGCCACAGTGATTGCAGACAAGGTACAGAAGCTTCCCTTCCCCCCACTTTCCTCCTGGGGCGGGGGGACAGTGGTTCAATGGGGAGCTTCCAGCCGGCTCCCCAGAACTGAGATTGGGGTTAGGGGATTGGGTGCAACCTGTCAGCCTCCCATGGGCCTTTTCCTAAGCCACACCCGAGTGCCCCCAGCCCGGGCAGCACCCCAGCCCAGACAGGGCTGTCCCCCAACACTACTACTTGAAAAGGTTTCCTAAATCATTCAGCGAAGAGGAAATGTGGGCAGTTGGCTTTTATAAAGAGCTTAGTAAACTAGAGTCATTAGCCCCCAAACATCATCTCTGGTACTCACACTCCAATGAGCTTTCTTGAGTGGAAGGGAGAAACCAGAGGGAATGAGAGCCAGCCATGTGCGTGAGCCTCACAGCCACGGGGCTTCCTCAGGGACACGGCAGACACCTGAATGTCATCGGCTGGCGAGTGTGTGTGTCTAGACGTGGGCCCGCTCGGTCGCCACCGGCAGACTGCCCACATGCTGCCTCTGGGCCAGGCATGCGGGACACGTTCCCTACAACCCTTACATCCGTCTCACAAGGTAGGTAGGTGTGCAGGCCCCATTTTACAGATGAGCAAACTGAGGTCCAAGAAGGCTAAATAAGTGATTCGTCCCGCAACAGGCCCAGCTACATCATTCGTAGGTCCCAGTGCAGAAGGAAAGTACAGGACCCCTTGTTCAAAAGTCATTACGCATTTCACGACAGTGACAGCAGAGCGTTAAGCCACGTGTGGAGTCCCCTCAGACGCCCAGGATGGGTGCCTGGGAAGCGGGGCTGGAGCGGAGCCCCAGGTTTCTGAGCGTCCCTTCCCTGGAGCGTCCCCCACCGCCCGTCTGAGGCCCAGCAGCCGGGTACCTGGAGTAGCAGGAGAGGCCGGTGCTAAGGATGGTGTTCATCACGGCCAGGGGCACGTAGTAGTCATGGAAGGTGGTGCACACCATCACATCCGGGAGGGAGTAGGCCGAGTACGCAATGGCTGAGCCTGGGGAGGAGAAAACCAGCATTGGGCCGGAAGCCAGGCCGCAGTGTGGCCTGGACCCTTGGGACGCCCAACCCCAGCCACTGGGTGAGCCTGGCCACCACACCTGGCTTGTGCCTTGCCCTCCCCACCCCCCAAGACCTTCCCTCTCTTCTCTGCCTACCCCAACCCTCCCCTCAGAATGAGCCCAGCATCGCCGGAGAGCTTTACACTGGGTAACTCACATAATCCTGACAATCACCCCCTACCATAAACCTTGCCCTTGTCCTCATTTACAGAGGACAGCGTGACAGCACAGAGAGGGTTAGCAACCCACCTGGGGGGCACACAGCTAGAAAGTGGCAAAACCAAGCTTCCACCTGAGGCAGTTCAGGGACAGTCCCCCCTCTGATCCCCAAGCTCTGGTCCATGATGACCCCTCAGGGTGCCCAGCTTTTCTCAGCGTGCCTATGACACGGTACACCCCTCGTGTAAAGATAGACGTTGCAGGGAGAGAGGGGCCTTGCCAAGGCGAGGAGACATATGGTATCAGTGGGCTGGGGGACAGGCCAGCGGAGAGGTGAGTGTGAGAGACTAGCCTCGATGTTTCATTGCTTTAAGTTTGGGAATCTGGGACAGGAAGGTTCCCGAAGGGCCCTCGGGAGACCGTTTGCTGCTGCTTTCCCTTGAAAGAACAGAGATCACTGTCCTTTTCAAAGGGACCACATGTGTCCAGGGACCTGGCCCAGAAGGCCTCCCCAGCTACCCTCATCAGGTCTCCTCTGGGAGAGACAGCCACAGGCCTGTCCGCCCAGGGCCTTGTGGGTCCACCCTATGGTCACCTGTTATTCCAAAGACCCAGAGAACACCAGAATCCTAGCTCAGGGCTGACCCGGGCCTCGGCCGCACCAAGTTCAAGCTCTCCCTCTGACCCCATTTGACAGATGGAGTCAGGTGCCGGCCAAGTGGTGCTCCCCGGGTGACACAGGCAGAAAGAGCTTGGAATCAGCAGGCTGCCTGTGGGACTTCCGCTGGGAAGTGCTTCCTGAGGGATAGACTCTTCCCCAGACTAATCTGGAGCAGGAAGGTCTCCTCCAGCCCAGGATGCATTTGCTCTGGGTATGCTGATGGGGGCTGAGGGGCACGCCAAGTTCCGCAGGCAACACAGGAGCAGGGAAGCCTCAGACCCTGCCCCAAATGGCAGTGGGAAGCCAAATGACTTCTAGTAAGAAATAGATATTTGGTCTTTTCCACTGTTCCAGGCACAAAGCGCCTAAAACCCCTGGAACTTCCTAAGCCAGGAGAGAAAGGAAGGGGTCTTTAGTTATGTAAATGAGGTGATTTGGAAAGTATCTGAGGCTTTGGGACCTGATTGTCAGGAGAATGAACCGTGTTACCAGAGGGTTGGAACTTCCAGCCCCACACCCCGACCTCTGGGAGGGGAAGGCCAATGGCCAATGACTTCACCAATCCTGAAGAATGAAGTCTCCATAAAAACCCAAGCAGAGGTTCAGAGAGCTTCCGGGTTGGTGACCAAGTAGTGATTCAGGGAAGGGGGCGTGCTCAGAGGACACTTTGGAAGCTCAGAGCCCTTCTCCACACCCTGCCCTGCGCATCTCTTCCAGCTGGCTGTTCCTGACTTCTTTCCTTTATAATCAGCTGGTAATTGAGTACATAAAATGTTTCTCTGAGGTCTGGGAGCCAGGGTCATGGGGCCTCAGATGTATAGTCAGTCTGTAACAACCCGAGCTTGTGTCTGGCATCCGCGGGGGTGGGGGGCAGTCTTGGGGGACCGAGCACTTCACCTATGGGAACAGATGCAGTCCCCAGGAGGACGGTGTCAGAAATGAGTGGAATTGTAGGACACCCAGCTGCTGTCAGAGAAATACTTAGGGTGGCATGGGGACCCGCCACACACATTGTACTCATGCTCAGATCTCTTTAGAGGGCATTCTGGGGAGCAGGAAGAGAGGCAGCTTTGGATTCCAGACTAAGGAAAGTAAACATCCTCTTGAGGCCATATGGAGTCATGGAAGGTTTCTGAGTGAGGGATTAAGACAGCCAAACCTAGTGAAAATGCATAGGAGGGCCTAGAGGAAGGAATAGCTGGAAAGCAGGGAAGAGGGAGCAAACACCACCCCTAGCGGACTGCAGGTTTCCACAGGATAGAATGGAGAACAGGAAGGAGAGGTGGTTCGTGGACAAAGGAGCAAGGAGTCTGAGGTGGAAGCCAGAGGTCCCGGTCTGGGGGCTTGGAGGAAGCCGCGGGTGGGGGCCCAGCCTTGAAGGACAGAAAGGGGAAGTTCCCGGGTGAGGGGGTATGGGAGGGCACCAGACCTTGAGGAAGTAACAAATCCAAAAAGCCAGTGACAGGAAGGGAAACGGTTCAGGGTGGCGGCTGCCCCCCAGGACTTTAGTTCAAACCCGAGCTCTGCCATTTACATGCCACGTGACCTGGTCACTTTCCTTCATGGTGCCTCATTCTCGCCTGTAATGCAGCTATCATGAGAGCTGCCATCCTGGGGACTGACGTCAAGGTCAAGGACGCAGTGGCGGTAATGGCTCCTCTCGGAGGCTAAGAGCCAGGCACTGTGCTGTGCACCTCACCTGCAACACTCAGCTCATCTTCGTGCCTGAAGAGGATACGATGCTGAGTTTGTGGATGAGAGGACCGGGGCTTAGCGAGGTTAAGAAACTCACCCAAGACTGATGGGCTGGAGGCAGCTGGGCCACAAACAGGCATTGCAGGATGCCGCCCACTGCCCCCCTCTGCCAATCCCGTGATGTGTCCCGGGTGTGGTCTAGTGGGGACTCCCAAATGCCTGCTCTTAGCACGAGTCTGGGCAGGTGGTCAAGGGCTCTGGAAGCCTCCGGACTAAGGAGTCTAAACTTCATCCGGGGTAACTGGGAATCCTGAAAGGTCTTGAGTGGGAGGGGAGCCATAGTCAGTAGGTGTTAGAGAAGCCTGGTGGGGGTGAGTGGGCAGGAGTGGGGGAGGAGCAGGAGATGGAGAGGAGGCTGTGGTCAGGGTGCACTAACTAATAGACAAGATGGCAGGGGAGTGGGAGGGAGGGGAACCCAAGGGCCATTTACAGATTCTGACTTGGGAGACCAGGTAGGGGTGGAACCAGGAGCCAGGTGAGGCACTGAGGGAGGGGGAGTGGATGTGTGTGGTGGGGGTGGTGAGGGAGGATGTGGACAGTCTCGGTCACAGGGCTGGACACCACACGGACCCTGGGTTAATGGTAGACTAGGACAGTTTGGGAGAGCCCGGTCCAGAGGTGTTAGGGGACGGTGTGCAGTCACCCTGATGCCGGCCTGAATGAGAGCAGAGGCCCGAGGCCAGATTCTGAGCTTGTCTACTGCCAGGGGAGCAGAGCAGGGAGCGAGCAGAAGAGAAAAGAGAACATGTCCACTAGGCAGGAGGAGAAGCAGGAGTGATGTGACCGTGACCAGAGAGAGGGAGGTGGTTCAGGGAGCACGGAGGGTTGGGAGGTGACATGGTAATCCTGTGTGTGTTTGTGTCTGTGCATGCACGTGTGTGCATGTCTGCGTGTGCATGTATGTATGTGTATGCACGTGTTTGTGTGTGCATGTGTGTATGTGTATGCATGTGTGTGTGTGTGTGTCTGAGAGTTGTGGAGGGAGGGAGGAGAGGAAACAGGATAGAGACGTGATCCTCACGGACACCCTCTTGGACAAGGGAAGATAAGGCCTTTGCTTTCATACCTGGAACAGGAGCAGAAGCAGGAGGGATAAGAGGTCAGAGCAGGGATACTTGGGGACAGATGGATGCCTGACAACTGGGGAGAGAAGGGGAGCCAGAAGGAAGGGGCCCCATAGCTGGCAGAAAAACACGAGGAGGCTCAGGATTCAACACCCAACCTCGCCTGCTTTGGGTTCACCCCTCGGTTCCCGTGGCACTTTGAGCACATGGCGAACTCATCAAAGCCCCTCGACAAGCGGGGTTCGTGACCCCCTCTTCTCTGCCAGGCTGGTGAGAGACCCGCCCTGATGCACGAGCTGCTCCCCCTGGCCTGTGACAGCAAACAGTTAAGGTTTTGGAGATCCCACAAAGTGACTGTTAAACCCCGCCAACTACATAAACTTTTAATTAAAGAACCACAGTGACAAAAGTAGTAACTTTCCATTAATGCATCTCCTCTATCTGTGGAGAGGAATTACTCCATGATGATGTGCAGGGATGTCCCACTGGTGGCCAGAAGTTGGGCACAAGTCAGCCTACCCCAAGGTTGGGGCTTTTGTCCCCATTGAATCGGTTAACATTTGCCAGCACAGCTCTGGGCAAGTTTCCTACAAAACACTCATCAGGAGCCCGGAGGAGGCACAGGCATTCCCGTGACTCTTCTGCAAGCCCGTCAAGGCCTTCCGGTGGGCTCCGCTCCCAGGGGGTGGGGCAGGGAGCCCAGTTGCCAGGAGAGGACGACAGAGCAGGGCCCCACATACCCAGGCTGAAGAGGTTGACGGCCCCGTAGTCCAGGAAGTAACAGATGTGCCGGGCATTCTTGGACATGGAGCTGAAGGTGTGTGCACAGCTGGACACAAGGGGGTACACGCAGCTGGTGCCCATGTACACAAACAGAGGCCAGGAGTAGCTGTCATTCTGGATGTCTGTTATATACAAGGCGGTCACAAACCTCCACACGAAGAACCTAGAACACAGCATGGCCAGCTCGACCCCCATGGCTGGGGGCTCCTCCATACTCCTCACAGACTATCTGCTGCCCCCATTCCTCTGGGATAACTGAACCCTAGGTGTTCTCACTCTGGTGCAATACTACAAGTGAGGGAGGGTGAATGGGCAGAAGGGGCAAGAGGAAAGCCTTTAGGTTCATCTAGTACAATCCTCTCCCCACCTTGCAATGACTCTTACATGTCTCTTACAGCATCCTGCCTAAGTGATCCTCCAGGCTCAGCTTGCATGCTTCCAGGGATGGGGAGCTCACCACCTTTCAAGGCAGCTCTGAGTGTCAGAAAGTTCTTCACTGAGCTGACACCTCTCTCCCTGGGATCTGTCTCCAATTGATCAGCCCTAGTTCCCCTCAACAGGACCACAGAAAACTTGCCCATCAAATATCTAAGGCAATCTTCATAACCCTTCCCCACCTCTTTGAACCTTACATAAAAGAACCCTGTGGCACTCAATCACTCCTCAGAAGATCCACATGGGTCCTGTCACCAGACCTGTCGTTTGTCTTTGTCCCCTTAGAGGAAGGTTCCTCAAACAGAAGCAACCTCCCCGGGGGGTCCTTGAGAGTCTGGAAGACAACAGGACGATTTTCTCCCTCCTCTCCAGGCTATTCCTGCATGAACAGTGCCACTGCCTTTCTGAGTCACCTGGCCCCACTCGGGGACCTTCCGAGTCTAGGTCTCTGGGTCCATCCCCACACAGAGACACAGGACAGCCCTGCCACCTATTTGCCTCCCCTATGACCCAGGCAAGGGGACCTGCCTACAGAGCTGCCCACTTCCCCAGACCCACCACTGCTAGAAAGCCAGCACCTCTACTCACGGGCTCTCCTAGGAAAGGAGCCTCCAAAGCTTTCCCCACAGGAACCCAAGGAGCATCACTCCATCTTCTGGTGACATTTGCGATCTTTCTCCTCTGTCCCAGCAAAAACAGAACTGAAGCTACATGCTGGTCCCAAAACCTCTCCAATCATCTCAAGATGACTCCCTGGACCTACTTTCTTTGGGGCTCTCCCAAACCGTCCCCACCCTGTGTTGCTCAGTGGTGACCACCTCCCAGAGCCTGGCAGTGTTGGGGGCTGTATGCAGCAGGGAGCCTCGGCCAGAGCAGCCCAGCTTCGGGACAGCTACAAAATCACCCAGCCCCTCAGGGATCTGTGCACAGGCGCCCAAGGCCCAGAGACAAGCAGGGAAGGGCCAGCGCTCCCAGCAGCAGGCCAAACTGTGGAACCCCATACATCACCGCGGTTCATCCACACAATGGAACACCATGCAGCCTGGGAGGCCAGGGGGCCAGATGGAGGTGGGAGGGAAGAAAGCTGGTGAAGGGCAGCAGGAGGCAAGGACTCAGGGTGGGCTGTGCACACCCCTCACACCTCCAGAGGGGCTCTGGGAGGACCAACAACTCCAAGGAGGAGAACAGAGGCCCAAAGAAGACACTGACTCTGTCCCCATCTGCAAGTGCCCTTTTAGGACCATTTAGACTTTTTACTTACATTAACTCAAGTTTGCTTAAATTTAAAAGGACACACACACACACACACACAGACACACACACACACAAATAGAATAAAATGACAAACAGGCTCCTTGAGCAGGATCTGGAGGCCACCCTGGGATGACAGCGGGCCCAAAGGCTTCCCTCCAGATTGCCCTAGTCCACCCCAAGCCTAGACCCCTACTGGCTGACACAGGTGTGGCCCCAGGAACAGGGTGGCTTGCCCTGCATTTTGGTCGTGGATCTGCCTTCTGACTTCTGAGCAAGCACGGCCTTCTGGAGCCTGTCTCTGTGTGCGGCAAACCCTGGGGTTCCTCCTATTCTCTTGGCTTCTGGACAAAGATCCAAGGGGAGTCCAGAGTCTGGCCGTGCCAGAACTTGCCATGTGATGGAAGCAAGCCACCCCATTCCCTGGACCCCCGTGTGTCAGCCAGCAAGGGTCTTAGTGGACTCCTGAGCTAGTGGTTGCTCTATTAAAGGGTTGCCGACCAAGTGCCTCCTGGCTGCTGTGGCCCCAGAGCAATCACGGGGCCCCCACAGCTCCCTGCCCCATGCTTTTGCCTAGTCCTCCCCACCCCCTGCCCCCACAGCCCCTCTGTAATCCTAACAGCAACCCTGGGCTGGGCTCTGATGATCACTCCCACTTTACAGTCGGGAAAATATGGAGCTCAGAGAGGTTAAGTGACTTACTTGAGCTCGTGACATTTTAACCAGGGCTTCTGGAAGACTCCAAAAACCTCCAGACTGAAGAGGAAAAGATCAAGTCAGACCCCAGTGCAGGGAAAGACTGGGGAGCTGCCAGAAATCCATATGCTAAAGCTCACCCCAGCCGCTGGGCCCCAACATCTCCAATTCCAGCCTCATGCCCCAGGGGGAAGTCCCCAAAATCCCAGCACGGACTCTCAGCCTTCCCAACCCCCCTGGGATTTGAAGAAGCCCCAGTCCCCAGGGCTCCTGAATGACATGGCCAGTCCAGGGGGCTGGAAGGTACCAGAAGGGCAGCAAGTGCGTCCAGATGTTGAGGGTCTCATTGGTCATTTGGAAAAGACTGAGGACACAGGCAGTGGCGGAGCTCTGTGGGTGTCGGTAGCCGAAGAGGATACCCTGCTCATGGAACACCTGTTGGGGGAAGAGAAAGGAGCACCGAGGTGAGGCTGGAGGGTGGCGAGAGGGTCTCGGGAGGGACAGCTCTGGCAATATCTTTTTCCCCCAGGCTGTGCACTTGAACTCTTGAGCCTGGAACACGTGACCCCAAGTCCCTGAGCTGTCAAGCTGCTTTCCTCCTCCCCTTCCCTCCTCCCTTACATAGATTTTAAAATCCCATGTCCTTCCTGAGGCCCGCAGCAGCCGGAGGAGGGACTTCAAGACCCCGGCTCCCTTTGGGAATCTGGTCAGTCTCCGCATTCCCAGACAGACCCACTCACTCTTGTCATGAATGTTGCCTAAGGATCTGGTTTTGTATCCTCTGTCTGGGGCCTACAGGCCAGACTCTGGATGCCTTTGTGGCTGGAAGACATAAACGCTGTCTGTCCGAGCCAACATGCCTCAGATGTCAGGAGCTGGTGGCAAGATCTCTGCAGAAGATCTCCCCCGGTGCCAGGATATATTCACCAAAGCGCTTCATAAAGGCCTTTTGATGATGAACACAGTGAAGGCATGGGCCCAGGATGCAGGTGGACCACAACCTGCCCAAGCCAGCCCCTCCCCACATGGCCGGCCCACCCAGCGCACGTCCGGGTCACCACCCCTGAGAAGACAGATGGACTGGTCAGCCGACTTATGGGCGTCAACCCGCCCAGGGGACTCCAGCAGATCCTTTGAAAACGTAATTGTGAAAAGGAGGCAAGAGCACCGAAGCCCAGCATAGGCTATTACGTGAAAACAATTAGAATGTAAATTGTATTGCTGTGGCGATTACAAGGATTATAGAAGTTTAAGGATGCGAGGCGGGGCAGAGGGTGGGAAGAACAAGGGGGAGAGTCTATGTGTTGAGGATGTGCAGTAGACTTTCTTTCCCTTGTGTGTTGATTCGAGCCAGGGTTTCTCAATCTTGATGCTATGGACATTTCTGGGCAGATGACTGCTGGCGGGGGGGCTGTCCTAGGCAAGGGGTGAGCGTACCCATAGCCTCTCCCTACTGACACCAGGGGCACACACCCTCCCAGGCTGTGATGACCCAAAACGTCTCCAGAGAGTGCCAACATCCCCTGGGGCCCAAGGGACCTCAGTTAAGAACCACTGATGTAGATGGACATTGTCATAAGCTTTGAAAGGTAAAAAATAAGTAGATTCATTGAGGCAAGTAATGACAATGGTAATACTAGTAGTCATAATCTAAATCGAGTCACAAGTACGTTTTACAATTTTCCCTGTGGTTTTCTGGGTCTGAGGGAGAAAGGGGAGATGGAGAATGGCAATCTCACCACCCTTCTCTCTTCTGGGTTACAACTTTGTAGCTTAAGAGAGAATCTCCATTCAAAAGTACATAATGGGGGGCGCCTGTGTGGCACAGTGGGTTAAGCAACTGACTCTTGTTTTTGGCTCAGGTCATGATCTCAGGGTCATGAGATCAAGCCCCATGTTGGGCGCTGTGCAGGGGGTTGGGGTGGAGCCTGCTTGAGATTCTCTCTCTGTCCCTCCCCCTCCTCTATCAAATAAATAAATAAATCTTTAAAAAAAAAAAAAAAAGAAAACAGGGGCACCTGGGTGGCTCAGTGGGTTAAGCCTCTGTCTTCAGTTCAGGTCACGATATCAGGGTCCTGGGATCAAGCCCTGCATCAGGCTCTCTGCTCAGTGGGGAGCCTGCTTCCTTCTCTCTCTTTCTGCCTGCCTCTCTGCCTACTTGTGATCTCTGTGTTAAATAAATAAATAAAATCTTTATTAAAAAAAAAAGAACACAATAAATAACATGTACTATGTCTTGAGATTCTGAGTCAAGTGGAGAATGAAGGGTTACAAGGCTTAAGAGTCAAATCTGGGCCACTGAAGTGCCATGTGACCTTGAGCCGGCCATGACTCTCATGGCCTCAGTGTCCTCACCTATAAAACTGAATATGTGCTCTCTTTCTCTGACAAATTAGTAAAATTTTTTCAAATCTTAAAAAAAAAAAAAAAAAAAAGGGGACACATGGGTGGCTCAGTTGGTTAAGCATCTGCTTTTGGCTCTTGACTCAGGTCATGATCCCAGGGTAATAGGATCAAGGCCTGCTTCTGGGTCCTTGCTCAGTGGGGAGTCTGCTCCTCCCTCTGCCTGCTGCTCCCCCTGCTTGTGTGCATATACGCGTGCAGTCTCTCTCTAATACTAAAATAAAATAAAATTAATAAAGTAAAATAAAACAAAATAAAAATCTTTTTAAAAAACCATGATTATGTTCCCTTAGCTCAGTTCTGGGTTCAACTGGTCAACTGGGGGAGGGGGACTCATGAAGCTGGTTCATGGTCCAGTGAAAAAATACTATTTGAATTAGGTTTGGGTCTTAACTGATTAAAGCAATTTGTTCCAGTTTTTGATTCACCACTCAATCCTGCTGACGTCCCTGGTTTACAGTGGACAGCCTTCTGTCCTGGGCAGCAGGAATCCTGGCTTACAGCTCCCTACCCCACCAGGGTCACTGACAGGGAGGCAGACAGGCTCATGGTCTTCAGCCTGCGATCCATGGGAGAAGGGTAGTGCATGCTTGGTGGGCATGCAAAAGCCCTGCGGCAGAAATTGGGGGTCTATTATCCCAACTCACATTTCAATCTTCCCTTCATAAAGAAAAAAAAATTTATTAAGGCATTGGCCTCTTACTAAGATGCAAAGACTCCAGAATGGAACCACTGTTACTGATGATTCACTCCTTCACATGAATGAGTTTAGCAGATCCTGTGTAGGAGGACAGCTCATGACCGGGGGCCTGCAGACAGCTGGGCACGGGGGGGTGGTAGCACATAGGGAAGCGGGGCTGTAGGAAAGTGGGGACAGGGGGCCCATAGATGGGAAGTGGATGGATGGGAACAAGAGGGGGAGATCACCTACATTTTGCCTGTGGTGATGCAGGGTGCGACTACTCTTTGGATCCTGTATTTGGGGAAGCAAGACAAGGCACCTACACAGTCAAGAGCCAGAGAGGAACAGAAGGGCTGCGAAATTCACAAGCTGGACAACTTGACCATACTTAAGAATGTTGCCCCATGGGTACCTGGGTGGCTCAGTGGGTTGGGCCTCTGCCTTCGGCTCAGATCATAGTGTCAGGGTCCTGGGATCAAGCCCCGCATCAGGCTCTCTGCTCGGCGGAGAGCCTGCTTCCCTCCCTCTCTCTGCCTGCCTCTCTGCCTAATTGTGATCTCTCTCTCTCTCTCTCTCTCTGTCAAATAAATAAATAAATAAATAAATCTTTAAAAAGAAGGAAAAAAAAAAAAAAGAATGTTGCCCCAGGCCTGGGGATGCTACTTGACCACCAATGCCAGGACTGGGCCTATATTAAAAGACTCTCCTCTGACCTGCTATCCTGAACCCAGGCACGTAAGGGAAGCTCACTAACCAGCCGTAGAGGCAGGATTTACAGCAATCCCTCCAAAAAAAAAGAAAATAAAAGAAAAAGGACAAGTACATAAAGAATGGACAAAAAAAGAGAAGGCGAGTCCTTCGGTCCCAGAGGAGCGATGTTCTGTACTGCCCCTTCCCTCCTCAAATTGAACCTCAGTTTACTAGGCCAAAATGCTAGATGCACTCTTGCTCTGAGCCCCTCTGAGCAGGGGAAAGGAGCGGCATTCTCTCCACTTCCCGTTCTGGCCCTGCCAAAGAGCTTTGTGTAGAGTAGATCTTAAAAGAAGACATACTACATAAATCTCAACAACAAATGAAACGTTTGGAAACAATTTTGTATTCACACCCAGTCCTCACCCCAAAAGGCAAATTGCAATCATTGCCTTTAGTACTCTGTAGCTGGGTCTCATTCCTAAGCACCCCCAGGTTAGCAGGTGCTGGCTAATTTGCACAGTGGAATTGATTTGTAGGAATCCACCTCGCATCCCTGGTTCCAGGCTAGGCAGTTTAATGTGAAATGAAATCAAATCGTGTGCAGCTTATTATTTAGAAGGGAGAACCCCCGGGTACCTGGAGTGGAAGGCCACAGCAGCGGGTTTTCCTTTTAGTGCCTGCCAAGGCTTAGCTTCCGGGAAAGACTCTGTGTACCCGCCAGTTGACGCCTGAAATTCCACTGAGACCATTTCAAACCCTCGGTTTTTCTAGCTATTAAACTGCAAATCACCTGGGGAAAATCATCTAGTGTTCTGGCTCGTGGGAAACAGGAGCGGATTCTGACAGCAGGCAGAGGGGTGAGGCAGAGTGGGGGGTTAGATGCTCTCAGTGAGGCAATCTGCACATCCCGTCCAAATCTCGAGGAGTCCTCAGGACCTTGTGAGAGACAGCCTTTCACTGTCCCCATTCCACAGAAAAGGAAACTGAGGCCCAGAGAGGTTAAGACATTTTCTAAGCTCCTAGAAGTGGGGGGAGCAAATCTGAAAGTGGCATTCACACCTAAGACTTCATTTCTTGGCCTCTTACATTACATGCGGCCTCTCAGAAGGGCTCTGGAGGACAGGAAGCTCTCATCTCTTGGCCTGTGGTGTGATTTTCAACTGTCAGGTGCTTCTCTGAGCCTTGGTTTCTTCTTCAAAGTGTTCCTCACTTTGTGTCCCTCACAAAATTCGTAGGTTGAGGCCCTCAACCCCTTCCCCGGACCTTGGCATGTGACTGTCATCGGAGGCAGGATCCTTAAAGAGGGGATGAAATTAAAATGAGGCTGTGGGTGGGTCCCAGTCTGATCTGACTGGCGTCCCTCAGAAGCAGGGGCAACACCAGGGGTGGGTAAGCACAGACTGTGTGACCGGGTAGCAGGGAGGCGACATCTGCAAGCTAAGGAGAGAGGCCTCCAGAGAACCAACCTTTGCCGGCACCTTGATCTTAGACTTCCAGCTTCTGGAGCTGTGAGAGGTGAAGTTCTGTTTGTCTAGTCAGTCTGTGGCCCTCTGTGATGGCAGCCTGAGCTGGCTAAGACAAGCAGGGAGGTGGGGTGACACTCTCTCTAAGTTGGTGTCTCGAAAACGTTCTTCCACAGGTGTCGGCGATGGCCTGG